TCTAAATGGAGCTGCTGTAACACACTCTGTGGCTATTTTCACTGCAACTTCAATCAACTAAAAAGTTAAAAGCAGATAGGAAGTCCAACCCCTCGTTCAGAGGCTGCACCTCTGGGATTCAGGAACCACAGGAGTAGAGGTGGCCCTCGGACCTATGCAGAACAATCTCTCAGAACCCTGAGGAATCACACCCAGGTTTGTTCCCTATATGCCCCTGGTCCCAGCCCATGCATGTCACCAGCCCCTGCTGCCCGAACAATGCGTTTGTCCACAAGCACTTACTGAACCTCAATAAGATCCAAGACCCAATAGCCTCAGAGCTCCCAGACCCACCCGAGGCTGTTTCCTGCCACCTGAGATTTGCTTTCCCTCAACCCAGATGCCAACTGTCTGCTGCCCCTTTTATTCTTGCAGTCCATCAACAACTGTTCTTCAAACACCTAGTATGTTCCTAGCACCCTTCAGGACACTGGGGATACAGTAGGGCACCATGCTATAATGCACCATACTGTCATGTCACAGATTCATGTGTTGGTATAGCTGGCATGGGGCAGACACCAAGGAAAGGAACAAAGGAATGTGGCTTCATCAGGAGTCATGAGTACTTGAAGACAGTCTGGCAGCTGACAAAGAAAAAGTGAGGCTTGGTTGGCACAGGGTTTCTTAGGGAGCGGGTAGGACATCCTGCCCACCCTGTGGTCCTCAGGGCAAGGCTCTAGCACACCAAGACTTGGGGGTTGCTGGGCCCCGAGATTCCAAATGTCATAAAAGTGGAAATCCTCTGCCCTGTCTCAGCTGTGCACTCACCTTTGACCTTAGTGAGGTCTTCTGCTCACCTTGGGACCCCTCCATTTCTACCACATACAGAGTAGTGAGTTGAGAAGTGGGTCATGAAGTCAAGTTGGCAGTCTGTGAACATTATTTAAAAGAGAAAATGAGGGGCTGGAGAGATGGCTCAGTGGTTAAGAGCACTGACTGCTCTTGCAGAGGACTCAGGTTCAATTCCCAGCACCTACATGGTGGCTATGAACTGTCCTTAACTCTAGTTCCAGGGGAATCCGAAGCCCTCTTCTGACCTCCGCGACATTGCACGACACAGGTGCACTCACATGCATGCAGGCAATACGCTCGTACACATAAAAATAAAAATAATAAATAAAATATTTTTTAAAAAAGAGAAAATGAAACAAACAGAAAATAGCAAGCTAGGGGTCGTGGCACAGGCCTTTAATCCCAGCACTTGGAAGGGAGAGGCAGGCAAATCTCTGAGATCGAGGCTAGCCTGGTCTGCAGAGCAAGTTCTAGGCCAGCTGAGGCTACAGGGAGACCCTGTCTCCAAAACAAGAAAAGAAAATAGCAGTGCATTGCACAAAGAGGATCGATACAAGGCTCTGTAAAGTGTGCAGGAGTGTGGGGGCACGTGCACACTGGGTCACAGGAACACCAAATTGCCTATTGTCTGAAGGCATCCAAGCCTTGAACTAGGTCACCTGTCTGGGCCTTCCGATTCGAACCTGCTCTGCACCTGTCATTCTCACCCTCAGGACCAGACAATTTAACAACACAGTCGGAGCGGAGTGGAAATTGAATCGGGAGTGCGTTCTGCACAGACATCGCCTGTTTTTATTATTCCCGGTATGCAGAAACCACATTAAGGCTGAGTTTAAAAGGCTAGAACACAGTAAGGCAGCTTAGTATTTCCTGGAGATCTGTCCCTACATTTCCACCCACCCTGGCAAGAAATTCTGAAACCCCCTTTAGGGACAGTGGCCTCCTGCAACTCCCTTCACCCCAGACCCCTTCCCTTGTTCTAATGCACTCAGTCAGCTCAGCCATTCACTGAACGTCCATTTCTTGTGAAATGCCCAAACACCAGGTGTTGGGTACTCTGTGCTGAGCAAGGCCAAAAGATCGTATTTGAAGTACTGGGGTAGGGAGAAGGAGTGTATTTGATTATAAATCTGTGACAGCTTTCTGGTGGTGGAAAATATGGAAGAAACAAAATAATGGAGAGGAGGATGGCAGGAAAGGGGTAATAAAGGCAAGGTGACCAGGTGACCTCCTTAAGAGGTGACATCCAACCAGAGACCTGAGGGATCAGGAATCAGAGGCCCCAGCCAGTACCAAGGCCCTGTGGTGCCCCCTACTCCCTCCCCAGGCTTTGTATTGGCTGTACTCACTTTCTGCCTCCACCTCACCAGTGAGTTTTGTAGTGAGAGAATCCAGTGCCCCAGCTCCCTCTTCATCCTGTGCCCTTGGAACATAACATGTCAACTGGCTAGTTCCCTCAACAGCCTGTTGTGGGTTGTTTTTTGTTTTGTTTTTTTTTTTTGTTGTTGTTGGTGGTGGGTTTTTTTTTTTTTTCGTCTTTTTGAGACAGGGTCTCCCCTGTAACCCCAGCTGTCCTGGAACTTACTATGTAGACCAGGCTGGCCTTGAACTCACAGAGATCCACCTGCCTCTGCCTCCCAAGTGCTGAGATTAAAGGTGTGCGCCACCACGCCAGACCCAACAGCCTGTTTTACCTCCCATTTTCTAGATGTAGAAATGGAGACTCAGAGAGGATGGGTTGTCTTGCCCAAGGGCAGTTTGTCACACTGGGACCAGCAGTTAAGTCAAACTCTGTGACTGGGATACCCAGAATGGTGTCCAGCCTGCCTCTGTGGTGACAGCTACCTCATTTGCCCTCATCAACCAGTGGCGCCATATTTCTCTCCCTTGCTGTTCTGAGTGATCTACAGTGGCTCCTGGGCCTGGGTCCACAAGAACCGCAAAGCTACACCCAAGCACAGCACTCCTCCAGTCGGCTGAGATCCTGTTAGGCACCAGGCCTTCAACAGTGAACAGGACAGCAGGACAGCCCTGTGGAGCTGACATGGCAGCAGGTCATAGTCAAGAAAGGAGTTTGTAGAGGGTCAGCGGACAAGAAGGGCAACAGGTGTGGAAAGCAGCTAAACAGTGAGGTCACTCTCATGGCTGGCTCCCTGTCTGTCATCCCCTAAGTGCTAGCTCAAGGGGAAGCCTTCCCTGACTGCCCAGCATGCCTCTCCCTCCTGTGTGCCCTCACTTGGCCTCAAAGCTGCCCCACAGGGGTTTTGAGAAGCTTGCTTCTTCTAAGCTCATGTCTCTGTTCTCCCATACACCCCAGGTCATCCCAATCCCACTGAGCACCCACATCCACACCCAACTTTCCACCTGATGGCACATTACACGAGGCCCTGGCCATCCTCCTTGGCTCCTCAAGGACAAGAACTTTGGTCTTTCTGTTCTCTGCCATGTTCTAGAACCTAGAGAAATGTCTGGCACATAGCAGGTGCTCAGAAGACCCTGCAGGATGAATGTGTCCATTGGCCATCCTCTGGCCTCTATAGCTACACCACACACAGACACACAGACACACACACACACACACACACACACACACACACACACACACACACTAAGAACTTACTGTGAAGGAATGCTTTAAATATTTCTGGGGGGGGGGACCATCGAGATGCCTCAGCAGATAAAGGCACTTGCCACCAAGACTGATGACCTGAGTTTGATCCTAGGGTGGTAGAAGGAGAGAACTGACCCCCACAAGTTATCATCTGACCTCCACATGCCTGCTATGGCATGTGTGCTGTGGCAGGTATGCACCAACACACGTACACAAGCACATGAATACACATACTAATAAATAAATAAATGTAAAAGAGAATTTTTGTTTGTTTTTGTAGACAGGATTTCCCTGGAGCCCCAGCTGGCCTGGAAATCACTATGTAGACCAGGGGGGACTCAATCTCAAAGAGATACACCTGCCTCTGCCTCTCAAATGCTGAGATTAAAGAAATGCACCACCATGCCCAACATAAAACATTTTCTGTATTTATTTTTATTTAATGTGTATGCTTGTATGTATGTAAGTGCACTATGTGGATACAACGCCTGTGGAGGTCAGAAGAGGGCACTGACTACCCTGGAACTGGAGTTACAGATGGTTATTAGCCACCATGTAGGTGCTGGAAACCTGAGTCAAGAACAGCCAGTGCTCTTAACCACTGAGCCATCTCTCCATCCGTGAAAAAGAATTTTTCAGTGATTCCTAGGGTCTTCTGGTCAATGGAATTACACTCACATGTATGTGCATATCTGTGTGTGTATGTATTTGTGTGTGTGTATATGTGTATATATGTGTGTGCATGTGTCCCACACCTGTCCCCCCTTCTCCACCCATTCCCTTTGTCCTTGACTGTATCTTATAAATGTTTTCACATCAGCTAGTAATTATTTTTATGGTAAGTAAAGAGTAAACAAATGAGGAGTTTTTAGAGGTGCCATGAACACATCACCACGGGGCTGGGCCTCAGGCCTCTGCCCGCTCTTCCTGGCTTGGGAACCAAGGCGCTCAACAGAGCTACTCCTTCCTCCCAGGCTGCTGGGTTAGGGATCTGTCCTCCTGACTGCTCTTAGACTGTCTGCACCATGTACTCAAAGACTGAAAGCAGAAAGCCTCGGGCATCCGGGATCCCCCTTCCCTCTCCCTCCTTTGTTACCCAGTACCAGCAGGGCTCCCCCTAAGTGAATCTCCCTCTCCTTCCTGCTATGACCTTAACACAGGCTTGTGCCTACTTGCCACCCACCAGACTCCCTGCTGTCACACCTTTAGTCTCGGAGGTCTCCTCCTCTTTGAAGCCCTCCTGGGTCGGCCCCCCAGGATTTTTACCCTGAAGATGGGCAAGGAGTGTAAATTTGGTCTGTCCCACAGCTAGTACAAACACCTCGCCCTCCTTGCTGGTTAGAATGTCCCCACAGCAGGCACACTGGAGTTAACACGTTTGGATTGACTGGATGCACCAGTCATCACCAGGAACTGGATCATATGAAGAGCCTGGCACACGCAGGCAAAGCCTCGGACAATGCGATGTGCGATGTGAGACTCTAGGCCACAAAATCATGTATATGGGATGATTACCTGAGTCAGAAAAACCAAAGAAAATGAAAGTCCAGAGCCTCACCCGCAGAGAAGGCAGGAAGAAAGTGCACACTGCTCCAGCGCTGGGCTGGCCCTGGAAGACGGGCTGTGGACAAGTGTAGTTCTTTGTTCAGCTTTTGTGTGTTTTCCTCCTTTTCTTGAAGGCCCCGGCTTCCTTATGATGAAAAGCTTTTACTAGGAAACGCAAAGGTGCCTTGCGCCCTCTGCTGATCATAATGTGGTACTGCAGTGCATCGTCCTGCCGGACAGGAAGTGGAGGAGGGATCATAGGGCATGAGCCAAGCAAAACCCAGAGCTTGGAAAGATCGGAACAGATAGCGCTTCTGCATGGAGCCAGGACCTTGCCCCAAGACCCGGTGCGGTAAAGCGAGTTCATCTCTTCTGAGGCCAGGCCCTGTCATGAAATCCTCATGACCTGACTTGGGGAGGGGGTCAGGGATAGAGCACTCTCCTGGAATATGTAAGGCCCTGGGTTCTATTCCCAGGACTTC